TTCTCTATTTCCGTAGGGCAAATAGCTCTGTCTACTATTGGAAAAAGTGAACTGTATATTACATTTATTTCTTTGGAGAAACTTTCAATACGGACTATAACCTTATTTGACTACATAACATACATCCTTCTAAAAGGCAAAATAACAATAAAAATACAAAACATGATCCCTTGCAGCCCTATGATTCATCAGTTTGGGGATTTAAAATTCAATACTTCATCTTTGAAGATGCTGATTTCTAAAGTGAGTTATTCTTCCAGGTCTCATGTGCCTCAAAACAAACAAAAACTACGAACAAACAACGAATATGAAATATCTCCTAGAGAGATTTAATTTAATTTGCACTTAAAATATTACATAAAACCAGTAGTGTACAGTAGTCATCACTAAGTTTTTTGTGGCGTAACTTTAATTGGTTCGAAAATCAACGGCCACCAGATCTTGCTCTATTTATAATATTAAAAAGTTGGAATTCGAGGATTTCTTACATTTGACCACCAAAAGATACGCTAGCTCTGAGTTATTAGGCTATGCTGCCCTGTTTAAAAAACAAAAGCAGAAAAGCCAATTAAAACATCTTATTATTAAAGATTGTGAGATTTTGACCCTGAAAGGTATTTTTATCTTCCAGCTTGGTGAAATATTCCTAGCGGAATTCACAGGAAGTGGAGAGCCAGCTGGGAAGAAGGGAGCCTTTGAAGTGGCTGTGCCTGTGAGGGACCCCCAGCGTCAAGGGGCTGCAGAGCTCTGATATCCCATGGGTGCCTGAAAGAAGCTTTTTCTCTGTTGATGAGTTCTCAGTCAGTTAGATACTTTCTGTCTTCACTAATAATTTTCATATTACAAATGTGATCACAGAGGTTTACATTTTTTTCCAAACCAAACAATTGGGTAAATTTCAATATAAACTCTTTCCAGTCTATGCATGTATAAGTATTCTAAACATTCTACGTACCTTTAAAAGATACTTGGACTGCCTGATAAATAAGGTTAGCAATCTTAATGACTGCAGTTGAATATGTCTCTTACAAGAATGGAGATAACATTAATTCTTTCATATTGATTAAATCTTTAGCAATTTCCTAATCGTATTCAAAAATGTATACTGTATGCCCAATAAAATCTGCAGATTAAGAAATTAAACATGTTTATATTGTGTTACTTCCTATTATTTTTCTTCATAAACTACAATGATATCTTTAATTTTATTTTTTTCAAGACATCAAAACAAGAAAGGAAAAAAAACAATTTTAAAGAATGAAAATAGACCAGGCCTTCATATCCAGGTTAAACAGATATCTTTGTTCAGAACTACAAACAAATACGTAAAACAGCCAAAAATCATCCTACTCACAAGCACCTTCAGACTATTACAAGAATTGAAAGGTAGCCAAAGATTTGTTCTCTGACAAGTACTCAAGTGTTCTAACACTAACATGAAATGGTACGACAGTTACCCTCACAGGATGATGACTTTTGTTTCATAAACCATCTTAAACACTAAATTATTAAACTGAAACTTGGTTTTTAAATGATGAAATTAAAGTCACAGGTTCCCATCCCAGAAAAGGTGAGTGGGAACAAGCCAGAATTGTGTGAGATCATTGGGTATGCAGCCATGATTTCAGGGGAAGCAGCATAGACGTTTTTCAGCTTGGGTTTAAGCTTGGAGTGAATTCCATGGCCTCCCTAGGCCTGTGTTGTCTTTCTTATCACTGCCTAGTGATCTCTGCATACAAGGAACAAGGAACAATAATAATAGCTAATGCTTACTGAATAGTGAATATAAACTGGCCTTGTTTTAATCATTTTACATATATCACTTCATTGAGTCCTCATAAAAACCCTGAGGTAGGCAGTCTACCTCATGTACAGTTCCGTTCGACAGATACAAGAAGAAAGGCAGAGCAGGGTTATTTTACTTGCCTGAAAATCACTGTTAGCAAGAGATGGGCGATTTGAATACGGGTACATTTATACATGCACCCACAGAACCTGTGCGTGCATGCGTGTGTGTGTGTGCGAGTCTGTGTGTAAACACAGTAACATAAAACTTACCATTCTAATCATTTTCAAGTATACAATTCAGTGACATTAAGTGCATTCACAACATTGTACAACCATTACTCCTATCAATTTCCACAACTTTTTCATCATCCCAAACAGAAACTCTCTACCTTTTAAGATGAATTAACTTTTCTCCCTCCCTCAGTCCCACAGCCTGTCTTTTTAACTACTTCCTTCTTTTGAGTAAATGAAGTAAAACTGAATCTCTGTAACAAAAACTGAGAAAGAAACAAACTAAAAATCATTTTGTCATCCCAAATCCTTGAGAAAGAAACAAACGAAAAATCATTTTGTCATCCCAAATCCTTAATAATAGGAAGTCTGAGGATGTATTTTAGGCAGAATAAAGATAATACCAGGGAGGAGGTCTGAGTATGAGAAGGGATCATAAGCAGAGATATCGTTAAATTTTTTATTAAATCTCAACAATATTGATTGAATAAAATAGTAGCATTTAATTTCTGTCTTTAAAGATCAGCAGAATTAAAATATCAGGTACCACCGTATGTAAATTAGAAAGGAAGTAAGATCAAAGTTAAAGCATTTTAAGGTTCTTGTAATTTTCAGGATGAAGGTAAATGTTTTGATACTTCTAGAAGAATAGACGCGGAACACATAGCTTCTAAACAAGTTGAGGAGAAAAAAGTAAAAGGAAAAAAAAGACGGCCGGGCGCGGTGGCTCACGCCTGTAATCCCAGCACTTTGGGAGGCCGAGACGGGTGGATCACAAGGTCAGGAGATCGAGACCATCCTGGCTAACACAGGGAAACCCGGTCTCTACTAAAACTACAAAAAATTAGCTGGGCGTGGTGGCGGGCGCCTGTAGTCCTAGCTACTCATGAGGCTGAAGCAGGAGAATGGTGTGAACCCGGGAGGTGGAGCTTGCAGTGAGCCGAGATCAGGCCACTGCACTCCAGCCTGGGCAACAGAGTGAGACTCCGTCTCAAAATAAATAAATAAATAAATAAATAAATAAATACACCAAAAATGAAAGAAACACACACACAACACAACAAAAAATACTTGCCATAGATATATTGATGCATAGAGTATAATATATATCATGAAATACCTACATTAGAGAAGTAGAAACATTCAACATTAATAAGTTTAGCGTGCAACCCAGAAATTTAGAAAAAGAATAGAAAACCAAAAACAAAGAAAATAAGAGGAAAGAAATATTAAAAATAAAATCATAACAATGAGAAGTGAAAACATACAATAGAGAGAATCAACAATGCCAAAAATTAAGCCTTTGGACAGATTAACAATACAGAAAGACTTCTGGCTAGATCAATTGAAAGACAAATAGAAGACACAAAATAAAAAATACTTGTAATAAAAAAGAGACATTACAGTACATGCTACAGAGATTTTAAAAAGGCGACAAGTTTTTAGGGGCAACAGTAATGTCAAATATCTTGAAAATGTCGTCAAAAATAGATATATCCTTTAAAAATACAAATTCCAAAATTTACTCAAAGAGCAGGTAAAAGTTTAGTAGTCTTAGAGCCATTAAAGAAATTAAATCAGCAGTTAAAAATCTTCTCCAAAGGAGAACACTAGGTCCAAATCGCTTTGTAGCAGATAATTCCAATCCTACACAAGTTTTCAGAGAATAGAAAAGTAATAGTCTCCTCAATACATTTTGAATGTAGTTCTCAAGCTTGAGATGGCGCGCTCAAGCTGTGATACCAAGGAAAAACAAGGAAAAGAGTATTTATCAAACTTACTTATGAGCATAAATTCAACAAATTGAGCACAGCATTGTTTAAAAGTGTATATATGTCAAGACCCAGCTGGAATTATTTCAGAAACATAGGATTGAATTAATAATAATAAAGTATTAAAATCAGTTACTACTCTAAAAGAATAAAAAAGGAAAATTATGTTATTACCCCAATGGATACAAAAAAAGGGGGCTGATGAAATTCAGCATCACCCATAAAAAATCCAAGCAAGGAGACAAACAAGAAAATGGCGAGAGAAATTTCCTAACCTGAAAAGAACATGTATAAAAATAGCATTAAAATAAATGCCACACTTAATGGCAAAACATTGAGAACATTTACTTTAAGATAAAGCAGCTTAATGACAAAGATATTCATTATTATCACTTCCATGGCAAAAAGGTAAAACAAAATAAAATTGCATCCACACTTTGTATCATACATAGACATTAACTTTAAATGGATTCAAGACTAAGACTTAGTTGTTGAAGACAGTTTATCTTCATGATTTCAGAACTGGGAAAGATTTCTTAAGACCCTGAAAGTTCCAACTATAAAGAAAAATATTAATAAACACAACTTCATTAAAACTTCAAACTTTTGCTCATCAAAAGATAAAAGCCATAAAGAGCCATATAGTAGAAAAATATGATCAAGAATTAGTATTCATATATATAAAGAACTTCTACACGTTAATATGAAAAAGAAAATCCACTAAAAATATGGGCAAAAGACCTCTTCTGAAGTTTCAAACACAATCATGGACGGAATCACACTTTATTGTGTAATCATGATGTCACCTGGCCTCCTCACTACTTAAAATCTAAATAAGATTAATTCAAACACTCAAATGCATGGATTGTGGAAATTCAACATCTTCCCTAATTATATTCAAATTCCTGGGAATGGAGAAGGTGGAGGTGTGCCTTAAATTCTCATAATCTCTTCTGATACGGTTTTCTTCCTCAGGTTGAATTTTTTACCCCTGCCATGTGTCTCATGCCTATTTTTATATTTTCATCCTGGGGTCATCCCAAATATAGAACAAAGGTCCCTCTTCTATCCTATCTCCCAAAAGCTACAAAAATCAGGCCTATTAAGTGTAACAAAACTTCTACTGGAGATTTGGGGGTCCCAAGGAGGGACAGATTTATGCCATGTAGCACTCCAGGCTTTAACCTTTCTGGCATCTCTGACACCCACCTCACTTCCAACACTACTTATCTGGTAGTGTTCACTTCCAACCCTCTCTTCTCCACCTGGCTCGCAGAAGCAGAACTGTTTCTTCTTTACTTTCATTCCTGCCAACACCCATTCCCTCAGGGTCTCCCTGTCCTAGTGAATGTTGCATAAACAAAACAATACCGCCGGAGTTCCGGAGGCAGCTGATAAGATAACATATTTTCGCCCTGCTGCATTTAAAAGAAACAGAACTATGCCAGGATTTGTAATAAGTAATGATTCTTGTAAAGATATCTCATACATTGAGAATTTTGAGAGCACTCACATCTGTTGAAAATTGATTTTCGGCCGGGCGCGGTGGCTCACGCCTGTAATCCCAGCACTTTGGGAGGCCGAGGCGGGCTGATCACGAGGGCAGGAGATGAAGACCACGGTGAAACCCCGTCTCTACTAAAAATACAAAGAATAAGCCAGGCGTGGTGGCGGGCGCCTGTAGTCCCAGCTACTCGCGAGGCTGAGGCAGGAAAATGACGTAAACCCGGGGGGCGGAGCTTGCAGTGAGCCAAGATGGCGCCACTGCACTCCAGCCTGGGTGACAGAGCGAGACTCCGTCTCAAAAAAGAAAAAAAAGAAAATTGATTTGAAAGTTAAGTTTTATTAGACTGCACCTCTGCATGCTTCGCTTTTGACCGCATTCTAACAAATTATCATTTGTCCAGACGTACGTTTTTAATGTCGTATCTAATTCTTCTGTAACTTTCAACCAGTCCGCTTATCAGTGTATCATATAACTGAGGTGGTTTATTTTAGAATAGAAATCTGCTTTACTTTTCAACAGCATTTGACACTCTTTGTTTTATGCAAACTTTATCAAGAATATTTTTTCCATTAAAGAACATTTACATTTTAGGGTCAGCTGATGACTAGAATATTTTACAAGTAATTTTTAAAGTTGATTTTTTAAAATAAAGCATACTCCATAGACAAATATCTTAAATCCATTTTCTTCATCCCTACCGCAAGCAATTGTCATGAATGTGACATCTAGCTTGGGTGCCACTAACTGTTCTCCAGATAACAGCTAGTTAGGATCGGAAGTGGTGACCAAAGTGGTTCCCTAGTCATGACTGTGATTGACAAGTTTCCTAAACCACTTCCTCTTCAGGTAATAATGTCTCTCGGTTTTGTGCCTTTTTTTTTTTTTATCTCACACGGCGTTGAAAATTATTCTCAAAATTAATTGACATTTCATTGATAAAAGAAGAGCCAACTACCAAATTTTTAATAACAATTAAAAAGTATTAGCATTATTAACACATGGAACAAAGCTTAACACACTCTTTTATTCCTTCAGTATCCCTCCTCTTCTTTGAATATTATCACTTTCTCGTCTTAGGCTTCCATATTTAAGAATTGACAGCTAGCAAAACTCACACATAAGTGTTTCTCTCCACAGTTCTCTAGGAGTTCTCAAGCAGTTTTCACTTCACCACAATGACGTTTACAAATGTGACATGGAAACTTGGTTGGCAGTTCAAAGGAAAATTGATTTTTTTACTATGAGATTTTAAAACTTCACTTTATGAGGAGATTTTAACACCATCCATGTAGAGGGACGAAATCGCTACAGCCTAACAAGGTCCATAACAGTTACTTCTGACAAAACAAAAACAAGACCTCCTTGTCACCTTGTTTCACAGCTGCCAGGGTAATCATAAACCAAACTACTCGAGGTTTAGTTTGGAGGAACAAGACGGCTAACCGAAAATAAGTAATAAAAAATTAAGCCTCCAGCAATCCATTTTGAAAATTTCAAGTCTTCTAAATTCTAGTTAGGCAGGAAATATATTAAGAAGTCATGACCCTGGTAGAAATCAGGATTTCCTTTCTTGACAGAAAAGTAGATAAAAATTGAAAAACTGAATCTTAAAGTGAAAAAAGTAAATCTCTCTTTTTCAAATATTTTAGCCTTATTTGTCTTTTTTCTTAGCAGGTATCTTATCTAAGAATACAGAAAAAGGAGATTTGGAAACTACATATGAATACAGTTAAGACAATAGTTTGCCTCTTTCAGGATCTGAAAATGGCCCGTGACATTGGATGCAGCGATCATGCAAAGAATACGTATGTATTTTTATTTTATATGAAACACATATATATTTATATCTTATATTAAAATAACTATATTTTCAATTGTTACTAATTTTTTAATCTTAAAAATAGCCATGAATTTAGAAATGAATTCTATGATTTGCAACTAAATACTTTGGGTTTTCCAAAAGTATAATTGTTCTGAAAAGGCTACCTACTGTATAATATCAGCTAGATGGCATTCTGGAAAAGGCAAAAGTATGAAGACAATAAGATGAACAGTAGCTGGCAGGGGCTGGGAGGAGGGAGAGGGAGAGACACATATATCCATAGGTGAAGCACAGAGAATATTTAAGGTGATACTGTATGATACTTTAATGGTTACTATATGGCGTTATGCATTTGTCAAAACCCATAGAACATACAACACCAAGGGTGAACCCTAATGGAGATTATAGACTTTGGGTGATAAATATAAATATATGTTCATCAATTGTGACAAATGTACCATCTGGTGAGGGTCCTTGACGGTGGGGGAGGCTGTGCATTTGCAGGGACAGGGAGTTAAATATGAACTCTGTACTTTCTGCTCAATTTTGCTGGGAATGTAAAAGTGCTCTAAAAAATAGAAAAGTATAGTTGGCAACTAAGATAACAACACGGTAAGAGATGGCAGTTACTGCTCTACCAAACCTCACATTAAGGAATCAAGAGTAATAGCAATAAATATTTTAAGAGGAACTATATATGACACTTCAGGAATAAAGGTTAGCCTCAAACGGAAATTCTTGTACAAAAACTTCATAACCATTTGACTGCATGCAAAACAAGAGCATTATAAAGGGGTACACATCCACACATATTCTGTTGTAAGAATAGAGGTTGCAAAAGAAGTGGAGCTTGTTCAGTGTGTTCAAGTTGCGAACAGATCTGTGCTTTAGCAACAAGACTTCCTCAACTGAAAATAGAACTTTTGAGTTCAAGTTTGATCTATTCCTTTTTTCAATGATGCTGAGTCATTTCCTCTCTTTAGTCTTTCTCTGAAAAGCCAAAACTTTGAAGGGCTCAAAAAAATGAAACTTCAGGTTGTCTGAGCCTTTCAGAACGTGCATGCTGTTCCAACACTCATCTGCATTTAGAAAAGAATATCAGCCCTGTTTGATTCATTCTTGTGGAATGAGCCCATAATCTGGATTCATTTTTTTTTTCAACTTTTGCACTCATTTTTAAGGTTATTTTCATGACACCCTCTTTACATAGCCATTTTAGGAATTACCATCTCTATTGTAAGGACCAAAAAGGAGGGTGTTAGCAACAACATCATCTGACTTGCCACCTAATGCCAAAGGACTATGTGGAAAAATAAAATTGGTGGCCACACTTATTTTGAGTCCCTGTGTATAAAAACATGGTAGCTTTTTCTTAGGTAGACAACTAAAATTTTCATACATCCTCTCCATGATATTTCCTCAAAGAAATGCTCTGATATGCAGGAATTGTTTGCTACTGAATCTGTGCTGTCTTCCTTAGTATTCTATACCCCCGAAATCTCTAAATAAGTTACTTTAAAGAAAAGAAAAAACTCAAAAAACAGACATTTTACATTGTGTATTTATACCTCTAAGCTTTATTGTATATGTAATGGCCTTTCAAGTCAATACAGAATGGAGATAAGTTTAGAAGATTTTTTATTTCTAAAGAGATAATTACGGCCAGGCACAGTGGCTCACGTGTATAATCCCAGCACTTTGGGAAGCCAAGGCAGGAGGATCACCTGAGGTCAGGAGTTCGAGACCAGCCTGGCCAGCATGCTGAAACCCCATCTCTACTAAAAATTCAAAAATTAGCCGGGCATGGTGGCATACGCCTGTAATCCCAGCTAGTCTGGAGGCTGAGGCAGGAGAATTGCTTGAACCCGGGAGGCGGAAGTTGCAGTGAGCCGAGATCGTGCCACTGCACTCCAGCCTGGTCAACAGAGTAAGACTCTGTCTCAAAAAAAAAAGAGCTAATTACAAAAAGAGAATAAGCCGAGCATCTCCTAATTTTCTCTGGGATTCAGAGATAGTTGGTGTATACCTATGAATATTTTCAGAGATGTTTAATTGGACTAAAGTTCTGAAAAACTTGGATGCCTAAAAGGCCAAGACTAGAGAAACGCCATAAAGTGAATGAGGAATTTGACTGAATACAAAAACAAATTGTATATCATATAAGGGTAAATCTAATTTATAAGTGAGAAGTACTCAACAATGGCAGGTCCAAGTCCCGTTGAATCTCCTTTCTTCTTCAAGATTTCTAACTATTGCACATGCTGCTTGTGAAACATTACTCAGTGAAAAAATACACATATCCTTAATAGAAAGAGCACTTTGAAAATTATGTAATTTTCATAAGAGCTTCATAAATACCTCATCCTGTGATTTACAAAAGCACAAAAGGATCTAATGTCCTCTAGCCCAGTAGAAAGCAAGCTGACCTAAAGTTTACTATATATTATAAAATGTACATATAATTTCCTCTCTCCATTTTTGGTTGGCCAAGCTTTAAACAAGCTCCAAAGCCACTCAGTTCTACAAAAGAATATGCCTAAAATAAATGCTTCTATGTTTCCATTTATTCAAATATTTTCAGAAAAAAAAATAAATAGTAGAAACAAATTATGTTTATCTGAGGACAGCAGCGCTGACAAGAGCACGGGTAGATTCATGATCAAGATTCTCTTCCTATCACCTACAATTATGATGGATGGTGGAGCTAAACCACAAATCAAAGAGATACAATGCACTTTTCAGTATTTTTAAAAGTTATTCATCCCACTCTTTAAATTCCGAAAATGACAGAACATTTATTCTTTCATGAGATTATATTCACTGTGAAAATTCTCAAAGAAAAATAGTTCTTTGTTGCTATTGAAATGCTACTAGATGTGTGTCAGTTTTCCCACTTCCCATTTTCATGGGACTTAGTTTATGTGCCACCCGGATTCCTTACTGTCCTGAACTCTACTTTT